GCTTCTTTTATGGTGCTTTTACAACCACACCCTTAATTACATTCTTGTAGTTAAAGTTACACACACTTTAACCAACAAACCATGATAACTTATTTATTATTTTTTACCCAAACCAGTTAGGGTAAACAATGTTATCCCTAACAGTATAGGTTCTCCTAGTTGAACATGTGGCTGGACTAGAAGACCTCCAAGGTCCCTTCCAGCCCTATTCTATTCTATCTTCAATACCTTGCAAGTTGGTAACAGTGTTGGGGGTCATTCGAATCTCCAGAGCGGGTGGGGGGCTGCTCTACAGGATTACCGTGAGGGTGTCGAGCGGAGGGCAAGAGGAAGGGGCAGGTCCACTCCAAGCTGCCTTGTGGACAGCTCACAAACCTGGAGTCCGGCGAGCTGCTTTCTAAAGCAGCGACCACCAAAGGGTCACTTGCACATTCAGAAGAGAGACTTTTGGTGGGAGCATGCAGCATTTCCATGAGATTTATTTTATTTTTATTTATTTTTATTTGTCAATTGCCTACAAGATAACAGGTATAAGTAAAAGCATAGTTATGAATACATGGATACATATAAGAAAAATAAAAGAAACAATCGGACAGGGACGGTAGGCACGTGGGTGCACTTATGCACACCCCCTACAGACCTCTCAGGAAAGGGGTGAGGTCAACAGTAGACCGTCTAAGGTTAAAGTTTTTGGGGTTTGGGGAAGAAACCAGAGTCAGGTAGAGGATTCCAGACATTGACCCCTCTGTTATTGCTGAAGTCGTATTTCCTGCAATCAAGTTTGGTGCGGTTGAGTTTGTATCTATTGTTTGCTCTTGTGTTGTTATGGTTGTAGCTGAAGTATTCATTGACAGGTAGGACATTGCAATGTATGATTTTATATACTATACTTAGATCGGACCGAAGGCGGCGTACTTCTAGCTTTTCTAGGTCTAGAATTTCAAGTCTGGTGGCATAAGGTCTTCTGCAATGAGTAGAGGAGTGGAGAACTCTTCTTGTGAAATATTTCTGGACTTTCTCAACTGTGTCAATATCAGAATCGTAATGTGGGTTCCAAACTGATGAACTGTATTCAAGTATTGGTCTAGCAAATGTTTTGTATGCTCTACCGTGTTTCTCCAACAATACGGCCTCCACCAATAGGAAGGCCCAGCATGATTTCTAGGCATGAGGTGAAATTAAGCCCCGCCCCCAAAATTTAGGCCTATTCAAACCATGCGTTTCCCCGCCAATTCTCACATCGTTTGTTAGAACTAGACGAGGTGAAGAGAAATGGGCGGGGAAAGGGCGGGGGCGATGGGGAGAAAACTTGCCTTTAGGAGTGACCTGCAGGTAGCCCAGGCTAGAATACCCCGATAGCCGATAGAAGCTCCCTTGAAGGCAGAGTCCCCAGCCGCTTCAGGGCGTGGCGTGGCTACCCGTGTCCCCTCGCCTTTAGGGCAGTCTCTTTCGGGCAATGGAAGCTCCCCAAATGCAGTCACCAGCTACTTCGATCGGCCGGTAGAAGCGGCCGTGCAGTGAGGGGAGTGTGTGTGTGCCACGCCTCACCCCGAAGCGACTGGGGACTCTGCCTTCAAGGGAACTTCGATCGGCCGGTAGAAGCGGCCTCGGGGCGAGCGCACACACACACTCCCCTCGCTGCACGGCCGCTTCTATCTATAGAAGCGGCCTCGCGGCAAGATACATGCGTATGGGCCACTCTAGGTGGGGGAGGAAATTAAGTCACCCCCGAAAAGACGACCTACCCATTTTTTCAGGGGTCAAAAAAAAATAAGGCCCGGCCTTATTTTGTGAGAAACACGGTAGTTAGTAGTGTAATATTACCAGAGAAAAAGCTATGTATTTACGTACATAGTAGATGAATGAATGAATGCATAAATAAATCTCTCACAGTCCTAAGGATTAAGGAAGAGGAACACAGAGGCCAAAAGGGGATTTCTCCTTCTTGCCCGCCTGGAGGGCAGTTCCCACTCCCCAAGGGACAGCATCCCAACAGGGTCCCCCTTCATAAAGATGTCTGTTGCAATGCTCAACCATCTCCAAGGGATGAAAGATGCTTGACATCACCACCTTAGCATTTACCTCTCCTTTTCAATCATTGTTTTGCCAACTATTTTGCGCTCAAATTCTGCCGTGCCTGTTGGGGGCTTCTCTCAGCTTCCTATCCATTAAGCCCATTAAATTCATGACTTCGAGATTGGCGCGTACGATCATTTCTGCATATAGTGTCTTCACTGTGCCCTGGATGGCAACCAGATTTAAGTGCCAGGGGAGACCACCCCCCCAGCCCATCTGATAATACAAGGGGCTGTGACCCCCTCAACATTTAGGACATAGAATAATAGGGTTGGAAGGGACCTTGGTGGTCTTCTAGTCCAGCCCACTGCTCAAACACAAAACCCTACACCACCCTGGAAAAATGGCAGTCCAGTCTCTTCTTGAAAGCCTCCAGTGACGAAGCAGCCACAACTTCTGGAGGCAACTTCTGTTCCATGGGCTGATTGTTCTCACTCTCAGAAAGTTTCTCCTTAGTTCTAGGTTGGATCTCTCTTCAATGATCTTCCACCTATTACTTCTTGACCTTCACTTCATCACTCCAGTTCATCTGTGTGGCCACCCATGAGCATTTTCTATTTCGATTCCTTGCCATCCTCTGCGTGTCAGCATGGCCTCAGTTAGGAGGGAGGCTTTGTGGAAATCCTTTCCTTTCATTATAGATTTGTGAGGCCGCCCATCTTATAGCATGGGCGGCTGACAGCAGCAAAATATTGTTTCTGTTAGATTTAATCAAAGCTGACACACATAGCTTCACCCCATGGGCCCGTTCCAATCGTTTTTCCAGAATCCAGGGGTGACCTTGGGCGGATGCTCCCAAAGGCGGATTGATTGTGCAATCCTCTTGATCCAAGAAAGAGCGATTAGAAGTCAGAGAACACGGAAGGACCTCCGTGCCTCTCCCTTACTTCTGTGGAAAACAGAGCCTATTGCTTTTTACAGAATTGTAAGAAGACAGGCTGGCCTGTGAAGAAAACAGAGTGCAGGTTTCTAATCTCATGAGTTAGGCTGAAGCCTGAGAATTATATGTAGGAAGGCTTGCGCTATGCTAGAAACCGCTCTTAACCAGAATTTGCTGATAGGATAATTAATCTAGAGACAACCCCTAGGAACTAAGACCATAAAAGCTAATTTGTAAGTAAGGGCAGGGGGCGATAGAATTAGAGTAATGGGAGATGAAATCCGAGGCAGAGATAATGTCTTCATTTAGACCAGGGGTGTCCAACCTTGGCAACTTTAAGACTTGTGGACTTCAACTCCCAGAGTTCCTCAGCCAGCAGGTCCACAAGTCATAAAGTTGCCCAGTTTGGGGACTCCTGATTTAAGGTGCGTCCACTGTGTACCTACATGTGCGTGGGGGCACCCTCTTTGCAATGTAATACATAAAATTACCATTGTTTTGTTCTGGAAGTTTTGGCTGGTGATTGTTTATTTCAAAACTAGACAATGAATCCCACATTTCTCTCTCTCTGTCTATCACACACACACACACATACACACACTGTACACCTGGAGGAAAAGGGGACACCACAGCCTGGTACCTGTTGACCTTCTGCTGGAGGCACTGGGGGAATCCACCCTTTCCGTTCTAGCTCTCCAAATCACTGCCCATTAATTCAGAAATGCCCGTCCGCTGGCTTGCCCTCCAGAAGTCTGGAGCTCTGCCTTTTCCCCAGGCCTTTCCGATTTCAAAATGCAAACCTGTTTCCGGCTCACACCCAGTGATGGAAGCATCCTTAGGAAAGCTTTGGCAAAAGAAAGATTGGGATGAGGGAACCAGGCTTTGCCAACAGGTCTGGAGAGGCGGAGGTGGAGCCGATGAAGCGGCGAATCCGATTGTATTGCTCCTGCCATGGGAGGGAGACGGAGGGGTTTTTAATGGATTTATTTTATAATAAGACTTTATGTAATGTTTCTACTTACTTACCTATGTGTGAGTTGGGTGGCTATATAAATTGGTTTTCAAAAAATAAAGAAAAGTAGGCAAAGGCACGACGCCATGCCTCTCTCTCTTGCAAGCGGGCCATTTCTGCAGGAAAGGGAAGAAACCCGCAGGGCAGGAGGGAACATTTCCAGCCTCAACTGGCTGCCCTCCCAGACTTCCACCAAGCAAGAAAACCCTCACTTGCCTCCCCCGACCTCCCGTAGTCTCTAGCCCCACCAGCGGGGACTGCAGGAGGTCCTCGACTTACAGCTGTCTCATTTAGTGGCCGTTCAAAGTCACGATGGCACTGGAAAAAGTGACTTCCAACCGATTCATCCAGGCTTATGGACGCTGCAGCCTCCCCAGGTGATCAAAATTCGGATGCTTTCCAACCAGTTCGTATTTGTGACGGTCGCCGCGTCCCGTGACCATATTTTGCACCCTCCTGACGTTAGTGGGGAAGCCAGATATGCTTAACAACCATGTGACTCACTTAACAACTGCAGTGATTCGCTTAACAAAGGAAGGCAAGGAAGGTCACAAAATGGGGCAAGGCTCACTTAACAACCGTCTTGCTCAAGAGGGGAAATTTGGGGCTCAATTTTGGCCATAAGTCGAGGACCACCTATGTCTGCACCCGCGGCAGCCCCTGGGGTACCAAGAGGCCCACAATCCCCCCCCTTCCAGGATCAAGAGGGCCAAGCCCTGAAGCCACCCATGGGGGCCAAATGCGCCCCTCACCCTCCTTCCTTGGGGGGGCAAAGAAGTCTGGGGGTCTCCTTCACTTGGGCTGGGGCGGGGGGGGAATCTAGGGGGGTGCCCCAACGTCAAGCGGGGTCCACGGGCGCACCCCCCCTTTCCTCCTGTCTGGGGACGGACAGGCCCCGCCCTCTTCCCCGGGGGGGGGGCCCCGGGCGGGGGGGGGCGCTCCGGGTAAAGCGCGGGGGGGGGAGCTAAGGGCCCGCCCAGACTCCGCCGTTGCCGGGCAACGCGCGCCGCTTCCGGGTCTGGCCGTGGCGCGGCGGTGACGTCAGGGAGGCGCGTCCGCGGCTCGGGACGCTGGTCGGAGCATGGGGGCCGCCCGGGAAGTGGAGCCGCCGCCGGCGCAGGACGAGGAGCCCGAGGACGACGAGGAGGAGGAGGCGGCGGGGGTCGACGGGGAGCCGGGGGCGGCGGTGAGGGCGGGGCCTACAGGCGGGGGGGGGGGGCCGGGGGGGGGGGCGCCTCCGGCCCCCCCCCTTTTCTTTTCCCCCCCCCCCCCCCCCCCCCGCAGAGCCCCTGGAACATCATGATCAAGCACCGGCTGGTGCAGCGGCGCGGGCGGCGATCCCAGATGATGACCAGGTAAGGCCCCCTCCCCGGGGGGGGGGAGAGGGGGAAGGGAGGGTTGCTTCCGGGAAGGATGCGTTGGGGGTCGCGAGGGGGGTGTCACCCACCTTCCCCTCCCCCCCTCGCAGCTTCACAGATCCTGTGGTCTCCATGGACCTGCTGCGCGCCGTCCTGCAGCCCAGCATCAACGAGGAGATCCAGGCGGTCTTCGGCAAGTACATGAAGGTAGGGGGCGGGGGAGGGCAGGGGGAGGGGGTTGGTAGGGGGAGCAGCTGCCTGGCCAGAGGCGGGACTCCCCCCCACACCTCCCAGGGACCCCGGCCTCGTCCATTCCAGCGAGAGGCCCCCCATCTCGCCTGGTCCAGGCAGCGGGTGCCCCAGTGGGAGGCCAGGATTGCAGGGGGGGGGGGACCTACCGGAGGGGCAGCGGGTGTTGGGGGTGCCATGCATCCGCTGCAGTTGCCTTTCATAAGAGCGGCCATAAATAAATTCAGGTCTTTTTTTTTTCAAGGGGCAACTGGACTTCCCGGGGGTTTTTCTTTGAAGACGTTTCGCTTCTCATCCAAAAAGCTTCTTCAGCTCTGAATGGAAGGATTGATACTCCTTGCAGACAAAGAATCCTTCCGTTCCCCACCCTCCAGTCAGAGCTGAAGAAGCTTCTGGGATGAGAAGAGAAACGTCTTCAAAGAAAAGGCAAGAAAGTCCAGTTGCCTCTTGAAAAAAAGGCACCTTTGGGACAACCCTGACCTGGATGACTATGGAGAACCTCCATAGACCAGGGGTCCCCAAAGGTGGCAACTTTTAAGACTTGTGGACTTCAACTCCCAGAATTCTCCAGCCAGCTTTGCTGAAGTTCACAAGTCTGCCAAGTTTGGAGAGCTCTGCCGTAGACGAATACAGGTAGTCTTTAACTTACAAGCATTGAGTCCGTTCCTGAAGTTACAACGCTTACATAGCAGCATCCCCGTGGTCCCATGAACAAAATTCACCGTGCTTGGCAACTGGCTCTTATTTATGACGTTCGCAGTGTCCCTGGGTCGCGGGATCCCCTTTTGCCATCTTCTGACGAGCAAAGTCAGTGGAGGGGTGGGCAGGTTCCCTGAACGGCCGCGTTACTAGCTGCAGCGGTTCACTTCACAACTGGGGCAAGGAAGGTCCTGCAATGGGGCAAAACTCGCTGAACAACCTTCTCGCTTACCACAGAAATGTTGGGCTCCATTGTGGTGGTCACAAGTCAAGGATTTACCAGTCAATGCATCCCTCGGGAGGGGCATCAGTTCTGTCCCCACAGTCGCCTGACCCTGAGGGGCTTCTTCTTCTTCTCTCCAGTTTTTCCAAAAGGCGGCAGGGAACGTGCGCGAGAATGTCGGGGAGGACGTGGACACAGAGCAACTCATCCAGGAGACGTGCCGCAGCTGCCTGGAGCAGGTGGGGGGGGGCCTGCAGCACCGTCTGTTCCAAGAACATGCTGCTCTTGAATGCAGGACCGGGGGGCGGGAGAGGTGGGCAGCCACCCCGGGTGAAAGGAGGGCCCTGGGTCTACTTTTCCCACACCGTGAAGTGCCACTTTCATTCTCTCCGTCTTCCTTGGGCAAAAACTAATGGGAGCCCTAGCCAGCTGTGGAGCCAGGGTGATCATTGAGTATAATACTCGGTGGCAGCGGAACATAATATAATGCAGAAATGGTTGTAGGAATTGGGTAGGTCTAGTTTTATGAAAAGAAGGACTGTGGGGGACCTGATAGCGGTGTTCCAATATTTGAGGGGCTGCCACGCGGGGGGGGGGGGGTTCCACCAGTTCTCCAAAGCCCCAGAAGGCAGGACAGGAAGCAACGGATGGAAACGCATCAAGGAGAGGAGCAACCTGGAATGAAGGAGGAAATTCCTGACAGGGAGGACAGTGAATCAGTGGAACAGAAGTTGCTTCCAGGAGTGGTTGTGGCTGCTCCGTCACTTCAAAAGAGATTGGACACACAGCTGTTTGTCTGAAATGATCTGGGGTCCCCTGTTTGAACAGAGGGTTGGACTAGGAGACCCCCGGGGTCTCTTCTGACTCTGTTATTCCATGATGCAAAAGTAAAATAACTTTTCAATAATGGAGTCAGAAGAGACGCACAAGGTTGTGTGGAATGACCTTATTCTACTGTGCCAAAAGGAGCCGGAAGTTCATTCCTTTTTTCCTCTCCTATTTTCCCATTCGTTTCATTATATTTATATTTCTGCATTTTACATTTTGACGAACTAATAAGACACGAGTATTGAGACAGGGGGGATCATTGAAAGCGCATCGCTGGGCTGCTCAAGTTGGGGGAGGCGGGGGCTCCCTCGGGTTCAGGGATGCTGACCGGCCCTCCTGACCAGCCGCCTCTCCCGCCAGGCCAAGCTTCTCTTCTGCGATGGGAAGAGGCCGGTTGCCAGAGTTGTCCACGAAGCGCCAGCCATCAAGGTAAAGGCCAAAAGCCCGGCTGGGGAGCAGCCTAAGGGTCTGCTAAGGGTCCCTTCACCTCCTTGCTGGGAGAAGCCCCCTGGCCGCACAGGCCGCCTCTGCAGGGAGCCCACACCTGGGGCAGGTAGCAGTTGTCGCTGCACAGGTGACTCTTTCTCTCTCTCTCTGCAGCGGGCAAAGCCCCTGGAAGACGAAGGGAGCCAGCAGGGGAGCCCCATCCCCAAGAAGGGAGGCCGTTGGGGGAGCTCCCGGCAGCCCGCTCTCTCGGTGCAGCCAGGAGACACTGAGGAAGGGCTTTTCTCCTTGGCAGAGGAAGGGGAGACCGCCAGGACAGAGCCAGCCAGGCGACCGCGGTGCTTCAGGGGTCAGCGTGTGAGTAGGGATTCCACCCAGGGCCTTGGGGGTGGGGGGGGCTGCCCCCCTCCCCCAGGGAAGCCTTGGGACGCCCCTCTGGACAAAACACCCGGTTAAAGGAGGGGGGGGAAGCCGGGAAATGGGGGGGGGCACCGGGGAAAGGGGGGGGGGGATTCCTTTTATAAGGGGGGTTGGAAGGTGCACCCGAGATTCGAGCCTGGCACAGTTACGGCGTGGGGGGGGGGGGCAGCAAAGTAGGTTCTGCCCTGGGAAGCAGAGGTGCAGGGGGTTCGGCCCCCTCCAAAAGACCCCCCTCCCTCCCTCCCTCCTCTCTGCTTTCAGGGGGAAGAGCAAGTCCTGTGAGCCGGTGCAGAGGGACGGTCCGAAGGTACGCAGAGCCCTCCCTGAGGAAAGGAGCCCTGGGGAGGGGAGGCAGAGCCGAGGGGCCGGGCCTGGGCCCCACCCACCCGTCAGCAGGGCCCCTGAGCCAGGGAGCCACCCAGGGGGACCGAGGGGCCCCTCTGGCCACTCCCTGCCACTGACCCCTGCGTCCCCTTGCAGTGGGACCCCCTGCGCCTGACGGAGACCACCAGCTTCGTTCTTGGCTCAAGAGCAAACAAGTAAGGGGGGGGAGGGCAGCCTCCAAGGGGGGGAGGGGGCTGGGCTGTCCCTTGAACCGCTGCAGACTTTAATTCTTCCCCCCTCTGGATCCAGGGCCCTCGGGATGGGGGGCACCAGAGGCAGGCTCTACATCAAGCACCCCCACTTGTTTAAGGTCAGTGTGGTTTCTTTCCTGGGGGGGGGGGGGGGGGGACCTTTTGGAGGGGGGGGGGGTGTCATTCCTTAGTTTACCAACTTGCCCCAGGGAGGAGGCAGCCCAGGGCTTTCGGCAAGAAGGCCACCAGGACGTGGGGGGAGGACATAGGCTGGCCTCTGAGGACAAGGGTCTGGACTTACGACCAGTGGGCCCCCCAGGGAGATTTGACAGGGTTGGGAAGTTCTGGGGGCCATTGTCCCCCCCCCTCTTCCCCCTCCCCCATGAGGGGAGCGTTTGGGGCACTTGGCAGGCAGCCAGCACTCTCGGCCGTTGCAGGCCCCCACGGATGCCATTTCTGGGGGGGGATCGGGGGGGGGTTGCCAGAAATCCACATTTGCTCCCAGGCTCCTTGGGGGGGGGGCGAGTACTGATAGACCTCAACTTACGACCACAATTGAGCCCAAAGCCCAAAGCAAGGCAGTTGTCGAGTGAGCGTTGCTCCCATTTTAGGACCTTTCTTGCCAAGGTTGTTAAGTGAATCCCTGGCTCCCCCACTGACTTGGCTTGTCAGAAGGTGGCAAGAGGGGATCTTGGGACATCCCCCCCCCCCCCCCCCGGATGCTGCAACGGTCGTGGAAAACGGTCCCCAATTGCTTTTTTTCCCAATGCCATTGTAACTTTGGACAGTCGCTAAATGAACTGTCGTAAGTCGGGGACTGCCTGTGATGGGTTCACTTAACAATGGCGGCGTCCACTCAGCTGGCACAAAAGTTGTAAAGTCCGATGGGGTCTCGTGTCAACGGCCATCGCAACGTACGAGGACCGTCATTCCAGGCTCGCTCTGGGTCGTAAGACGAGGAGGGGCCGGCGGAGGCTGGGCTCGGTCCGCTTCCCTCTTCCGCATTGTGCAGAGAAGTCCGTGCTGGGCTAGGCCAGCGTCCGCCTGCCAGGGGGTGCTGCCTTTCCTCCCCCC